GGCAGTGTGGGTACGTGCAGTGAATGCTGTGCGTCGCTGGCAGTGTGGGTACGTGCAGTGAATGCTGTGCGTGGCTGGCAGTGTGGGTACGTGCAGTGAACGCTGTGTGTGGCTGGCAGTGTGGGTTCTTGCAGTGAATGCTGTGCGTCGCTGGCCGTGTGGGTATTTATGGTAAATGCTTTGTGATATGTTGTCATAGGATTGTGAAGATGTCTAGTCCCAATCTGAACCTGGTCATTTTAGTGGGCAGCGCACTCAGTTACATCAGCGCCTTCCTATTTGTGGTCCAAGATCCTGCTGTTTCCATGGAAACTATCATCCAGGTGAGTACAACCGTATTGCATCAGAGCAGTGTACGTGGAGGCTACACAATTCACTCTGCTATAATGTATCTCTATAGCTTTCACCCTGGCTATACCCAGAAACAATGGGAATTGGGGCACACTCGGAACATTTCCAAGTAGTGGGGCTGCCGTAACAATCAAAATATATACAAAATACAGCTACAGGAACAGCGCACAAAAACAGAAATACTGCTCTACCTTTCACACGGCTTCCTGTAATCACCTATCCTACACCCACCCTCCTTCCCACTATTCTACATGGATCCTCCTACTCTTTGTAGATCATTTTGGGAGTTATTTCGCTCTGGTTATAACAATTATATTTACATGTTGGTTTTCCAGTTAATGATGAACATGGAGCAAGGTGTCTGCTCTGTGACGTGTTGGTGGGCAGATCTGACTTTCACGCCAAACATTGTCTAAATCTCAGATATCTCTGTGTTCCAGGTGAGAGTCAGCCTCCTGTATGTGGGGCTCACTCTAATCTTCGGGCCACTGTTGGGGAAGAGTTGGAGACTCCACAGAGTGTTTTCACACCGCGTCCCGGATAAGAGAGTGGTGAGTGAGAGTCCATTCACAAACAGTATTTTGGCATAATTTATTAGGAAGCGCATTCATGGGGTTTTAAAAAAATATATTAAATATCCCATCATTACAGAGAAACTGTCAGTTATAATAATATATTGGAAATGACCTATAACTTGTGTTAATAATGTTTTAATACTTTATTTTGAGAGCGCAGAATTAGTTACAGATAATAATTGGTATTAGCATCCAGCGATTCAGACCATGTGAAATGATAATAATATATTCAGAGGGCAGAGTATTACAAGACGAGGAATCAGACAATGAAATCGCAGATTTCCTTCTTGTACCATAGTCTGATTCTTTTCTTGTTCACCATGCCGTCCACACCGCTTTATCCTGTAACTGGGCGCCTACATCTTAGCTCCCCATCGGCCATTGTTATACGCTCTGTACTGTAACTGGGTGTCTCCATCTTAGCTCCCCGTCGGCCATTGTTATACGCTCTGTACTGTAACTGGGCGCCTCCGTCTTAGCTCCCCGTCGGCCATTGTTATACGCTCTGTCCTGTAACTGGGCGTCTCCGTCTTAGCTCCCCGTCGGCCATTGTTATACGCTCTGTCCTGTAACTGGGCACCTCCGTCTTAGCTCCCCGTCGACCATTGTTATACGCTCTGTCCTGTAACTGGGCGCCTCCGTCTTAGCTCCCCGTCGGCCATTGTTATACGCTCTGTCCTGTAACTGGGCGCCTCCGTCTTAGCTCCCCGTCGGCCATTGTTATACGCTCTGTCCTGTAACTGGGCGTCTCCATCTCCCTGTCAGCCATTGTTATACGCTCTGTCCTGTAACTGGGCGCCTCCGTCTTAGCTCCCCGTCAGCCATTGTTATACGCTCTGTCCTGTAACTGGACGCCTCCATCTCAGCTCCCCGTCAGCCATTGTTATACGCTCTGTCCTGTAACTGGGCGTCTCCATCTTAGCTCCCTGTCAGCCATTGTTATACGCTCTGTCCTGTAACTGGGCGTCTCCATCTTAGCTCCCTGTCAGCCATTGTCCACTTATAACAGTGACTGACAGGTATAAAGGGCGGAGAATATAGCGGTGACTGAGGTGTAAAGTGCGGAACTTATAACAGTGACTGACAGGTATAAAGGGCATAAAGCGATGACTGACAGGTGTAAAGGGCGGGGCTTATAACAGTGACTGACAGGGGGCTAAGATTTGTGGATTTCAACGTTTAATTATATTATTCACACTTCACAAATACATATTCGTTAAATTTAGTAATAAAGAGAATATTAAAAAAACAAAACTGGGAATTGGGTAAAACAAACCCTCCGTTGATCTGTACTTTTCTCTTTCTCGCTTTATTATCATTACTTTATGTCGGCTTCCAAACTTTTTCTATTAAACATTCAGAGAATGTCCTAATAATAACATAATTCCTGGAATGGGCCTTCTGAATGGGGCATGATATTAAGTGGGATATTTCTGTATTTAACCCTCCTGTGCCCATGTCCTCATTCTGCAGATTATTAAAGATTTGACATTACTGGCCCTCGTTGGCCTGCTCCTGTTTGTGGATTCTGTGCTGCTCCTAATCTGGGTCCTGTCTGACCCCGTGCTTTGTGTCCGGACAGCGTCTGCCACTATCAGGGTGAGTGAGTCTCAGAATTATTTATAAAGAATGATTAACACGAGCAATCAGCATGAACATGTCATCAGTTTCCTTGGCAACCGCTCCACTTACAGAACTTTGCTCCAAAATTAGTCTTTTTACATAATCTGTGTCTAGTCCCTCTGATTGAAACCCCCATTATTTAACTACAAACTGCTTCCTGCACTTCAAACATCGCTACACTGTATTCACTAACAGGGAGCATTACTCACTACACTGTATTCACTAACAGGGAGCATTACTCACTACACTGTACAATACTGGGATCAGTACTCGCTACACTGTACAATACAGGGATCAGTACTCACTATATCATACAATACAGGGAACAGTACTCACTATATCATACAATACAGGGATTGTATATCATACAATACTGGGATCAGTACTCGCTATATCATACAATACTGGGATCAGTACTCGCTACACTGTACAATACTGGGATCAGTACTCGCTACACTGTACAATACTGGGATCAGTACTCGCTATATCATACAATACTGGGATCAGTACTCGCTACACTGTACAATACTGGGATCAGTACTCGCTATATCATACAATACTGGGATCAGTACTCACTATATCATACAATACTGGGATCAGTACTCACTATATCATACAATACAGGGATCAGTACTCACTATATCATACAATACTGGGATCAGTACTCACTATATCATACAATACAGGGATCAGTACTCGCTATATCATACAATACTGGGATCAGTACTCACTATATCATACAATACAGGGATCAGTACTCACTATATCATACAATACAGGGATCAGTACTCACTATATCATACAATACAGGGATCAGTACTCACTATATCATACAATACTGGGATCAGTACTCGCTATATCATACAATACTGGGATCAGTACTCACTATATCATACAATACTGGGATCAGTACTCGCTATATCATACAATACAGGGATCAGTACTCGCTATATCATACAATACAGGGATCAGTACTCACTATATCATACAATACTGGGAACAGTACTCACTATATCATACAATACAGGGATCAGTACTCACTATATCATACAATACTGGAATCAGTACTCGCTATATCATACAATACTGGGATCAGTACTCACTATATCATACAATACAGGGATCAGTACTCACTATATCATACAATACTGGGATCAGTACTCACTATATCATACAATACTGGAATCAGTACTCACTATATCATACAATACAGGGATTAGTACTCGCTATATCATACAATACAGGGATCAGTACTCACTATATCATACAATACTGGGATCATTACTCACTATATCATACAATACTGGGATCAGTACTCACTATATCATACAATACAGGGATCAGTACTCACTATATCATACAATACTGGGATCAGTACTCGCTATATCATACAATACTGGGATCAGTACTCACTATATCATACAATACTGGGATCAGTACTCACTATATCATACAATACAGGGATCAGTACTCACTATATCATACAATACAGGGATCAGTACTCACTATACCATGATCATTACTCACTATACTATACAATACCAGGATCATTACTCACTATACTATACAATACTGGGATCAGTACTCACTATACTATACAATGCAGGGATCATTACTCACTATACTATACAATACCAGGATCATTACTCACTATACTATACAATACTGGGATCATTACTCACTATACTATACAATACAGGGATCATTACTCACTATACTATACAATGCAGGGATCATTACTCACTATACTATACAATACCAGGATCATTACTCACTATACTATACAATACAGGGATCAGTACTCACTATACTATACAATACCAGGATCATTACTCACTATACTATACAATACCAGGATCATTACTCACTATACTATACAATGCAGGGATCATTACTCACTATACTATACAATGCAGGGATCCGTACTCACTATACTATACAATACCAGGATCATTACTCACTATACTATACAATGCAGGGATCATTACTCACTATA